GAAAAACCTCTCTCTCTCTCTCCGCTTAAATATATTACATTTTAATACTTTCACCATTTTAATATATGTGTAAAAGTTGGGCACTGTGGTAGTAGTATGTAATTCCATGTTAGTTTGTTTACAAGATGTATCACACAGTGAAGAAACAGTGTTGTCTACTGGATGACACAGTTTTGAACAAAATTAAATGTTCATAATCATATCAACTGTATTCACACGACTTTGAAACTCGAATTGTATAGTTTTCTTTTTCTTCTCGTATTTGTCTTATGGGCAGTAAAATTTTCCAGATATCTGGGCGGACAGGTGTTGAATCATTCTTATTACACGTATTCTTTCCAGTTGATTCGATTAACAAAGCTTCTGTTATCAATGTCTCCCTCCACCCTGTGACATTACATTTTAAAACTGTCATCCTATCCCATCCATCCTATTGTATGGTTGTGTGTAGTTGCATGTAGTGAGTGCTATAGCCGAACTATTCTTCAAATTTCTTATCTTATTTGGGTCAACCAATCTAGATTTTGTTAGGTTTCTATGCTCCGCTAGTCTGACTGTCCTTCTTGTACTAGTTTGACCTATGTATTTGACCTGACAATCATTCCAGCAGGGTATTAGGTGGACTGAATTGTTTTGTTTTAAAGACTCCACAGGATTGATCCTTTAACCGACAAAGCTTGTTTCTAATTGAGTTTGTGGATGGTTTGAATTCCAGCCACATTTATTGCTGCCTGCCTTGTTAAGACTTCTGCGTAAGGTTTCCGAGGTTCCTTCCTTGTATGGTATCACTACTGATGATTTAGATTCCTTATTGTTGGTGTTGTCATTATTCTGTGCATGTTTGACATATATGTCATCATTAATATTCTAATTATTACCACTATCATTATTTATTTTATTTTTCCGTTTTCCTGCATACTTCCTGACTAATTAATCCGCGTAATTATTAAGTTTCAAGGCTTCTTTATGTGTATCACTTCCCGTCTTAGATTTTCCTGGGTACTACTTAGTTTTTGTGCTCTGTCATTTAAACATTTCACCAATCCTATTTTGGCTGACATAGGATGGGATGATCGGAAGTCCAAATATCTGTTTGAATATGTGGGTCTCCTGCAAAACCACTAGTGTGTTCAACTTTTCATCTTCTTTCCTTTTTACGCTACAATCTAACATTGGTAGCTCCCCTTCCTGACTTTCCAATTTATAAGTGAATTGAATTGCCTCCACCACTGAGTTAATGTGTTCGAAAAATCTATCTATATCCTGTGTTCTAAGTACAATGAATGTGTCATCTACATAACTCCATCATACTTTTGGAGTAAGGGTGAACGTCTCAACCGCTGTGTTTTCCCACCTATCCATGAATATATCTGCTACGATCGAGGATATTGGTGACCCCATGGTAACTCCTTCAGTTTGTTTGTATATTTTCCCTTCGAACTTAAATACTATGTAATTACACACAACACAGCCATAGAATAGGATGAATGGGATAGGATGATAGCCTTAAAATCTAATGTCACAGGGTGGAGTGAGAGATTGATAACAGAAACTTGGTTTATCGAATCAACTGCAAATACCTCAATTAGGAATGATTCAACACCTGTCCATTCAGATATCTGGAAAATTCTACTACCTCAACGACGACAAATAGGAGAGGAGAAAGAAAACTATAAAACTCGAGTTTCGAAGTCGTGTGATTACAATTGATATGATTATGAACACGAATAAATTGTGTTCGAAAAGTTGCCATCCAGTAAATAGTACTGTTCCTTCACTGTGTGATATATATCTAATAAACAAACCAATATGGAATTACTTTCATCCTTTCACGCCCTAATTTGTGATTTCAAGTGAATGTAATGCAACAGCTGAGTCTTCTTTTCCAGATCTAGATCTGGCTAACTTCTCAAGTTCTGATAATTTGTTTGACCTCGATCTACTAGTTTGACCTGTGCAATTTGACCTCACAAGCATGAATAGTATTTGGTAAATTATACATACTTTTTTTCTCATTGGAACTATCACGTCAGTGATAGGACCAAGCATAAAGTTGTAAGTATGTCATCCTTTCTCACGAGTCGTATGATTTATCATGTGATGAAGTTACTATGTTAAGAATGTATCATTTCTCACGCATACCTTGTGATTTATTGTGCGTGTGTGTGTGATCAATTCGTCGTCTTTTGTCTCACCTTAATCATTGTCGGATCATCAACCAATCAGAATAGACACATATTTCCAGCCAATAAGAATAGTCCATTCTCAAGGTTGTGAGTCAACTGTATTGGGATGAAATAAATATATAAATATGATATTTTGATGCCTGATAAAGTGTATGAAATGTATAGTCACAGACCGACCTTTGTCTTTTATTATTTGTATGGTTCAGTGAATCGGAAGGTACAACGGACAAATAGGCAGAATAGCGTACCAGTTTGAATTCATTACCGTTAAGGTAATTAACAAGCGCAGATATAACAAATCGGCAACGGATCGGTTCCGTTCAGTCATAACAGTCCTCGAAATGAAAAACTTTATCTCTGAGAGAGATGGTTGACTGATTTAAACGACACTTTAGTTCCAGCCTCATTAAGAATCCTACGTAGGGCTTCTGATGTTCCCGATTTACATGACAGTACTATCCAAGCTTTGAATTCTGTACTATTTATGTTTTGTTTTCATTAATTTCATTGTAACCATAGATGACAAGAGACTTGGTAGAGGAATGTTTTCAAGCATTGGTTTTGTAGGGATTTCTTGTTTGATTGGATGGTGGATTTCATCATGAGCTGACATCAGTTAGAGAAACACTGGAAAGCCAGCGGGGAGTACTGGACAGCCGTTTCCTCCATCCTAGTTTGGGACTCTTCATCCTCAGTACGCATCCATCGCCAGGGTTTGAACCCATGAGATTCTGGTTACAAGGCAAGCTCGCAGACATTTCAGGCACTGAAACTCAATCTATTGGACTATGAATTCTAACTTCTGCCAATTCACTGCAATACGTGACCATTTCGCAATGTCTTCTTCAATGAGTTACTGCCTCATCTTCAACCTTCTACGAGTTCGCCTTGTAACCAGAATGTTCTGGGTTCGAACCCTGGCTGACGGAGGAAACAACTGTCCAGTACTCCCTGCAGGTGCTCCAATGCTTCTCTAACTGATGTCTGCTGATGATAAAATCCTCCATCCAATCATAGGAATGTTTATTTGCAATTTTGTGTCTCTATATCAGCGAAATGATGTACACCTTATCTTCAAAGCACCATTTGCGGAGGGATTCCGTCGTGATATTCTACTTCTGCCCTTCCTTCATCTTGTGTCTCTCATGTTTTTCCGCAACACTGGTTCATTTTCTCTCTCTCTCTCTTTCTCTTTGACGTTGAATCTATCTACTACTCGCTATTTGATATTTTTATGCTGATGAACATCTCTTTATATACTACTATTAATAAGTTTTATCAGTAGCACACGCTACGCCATTATTACTCTCTACCACAAAATTTGTTCGTAACTAGGGAGGGGGCGGCGGCTATTGGTGATCTCATTGCCACCTCATTTGTTTGATTGTGTTGTGATATGACTGTGAGTAGCAAAAATGTGCTCAAAATGTCATTTATTGCTTAATACTTTTCTCATGTGTGTTATTTCGAATAAACTTATCTAATGTGGAATTACATTCTACACTTACATTACTAACTCCATTTGTTTGTTTGTTTGTTTTTGTATATTTAACTTTGGGATTTGAATACAGTGAAATTTAGGGATGATTGTACACCTGTTATTTCATCAACCAACAGGTTTGGTGTGTTCTTGAGGTAAGGATCAGTGTCCAGTTCTTATTGCTAACTGCCTCTGGATCTGAATTTATTCGGTGTCTTTTTTATTCCTTTAGGTTTCCAGTAGAACATAGGGCGGCTTCAAGCTAGAGGCTTGAAGTTTCAGTAGCACTGGTGTTCATTTTTAAGGGATGGGGTCTCTAGCCTGAAGCTAACCTTCCCTCTTTACAGGGCTTATTACTGGCCTAGCAAGGTGATGGATTGCGTCAGTGGCTGGATCAGCACTTGTTTTGATTTTCTATATGTTACAATGGGAATTTTCCATGCGTTAAGGGAGTAGTTGGATAATGTTCACTCACACCTGAAAGTAGTGATAGCCAGCTAGATTAAAGTGACCTAAATACCGGATTATCCTTTCACTGATGAGGGACAAAGTTCGTCATTCATGGATTAGGTTTGACTCAGCTTAGACTGCGACATCATTTGAAAACCATTCAACTTCTGGCTAGCTACTTGCGTAAACCATTACGGACGCGTTAAAATACACAAACTAGGAACGCCGTTAAGATCTATATTCTCTTTACGATAAACTCTACATACCACAAATTAGCACAGTGGCTATGTGAACTGTTGCAGCCCTTGAGGAAACGTTTCGGAAGGTATACAGTTTCTGATTGATTTCAGTTTGTCAAGCGAATTAAAGATTTCAATGTATCTGATAAGCATTTGATCTACTTCGATGTTACCTACCTCTTCACAACTATGGACTTCATATGTAAAGCAGATGAAGACATACCGATTCCAACATGGGAATTGAGGAAATTGTTACTTTAATGTACTGGAAATGTTCGATTCTAATTCGACGGGCGTCTATTCCGTCTAGTTGATGGTATCGCAATGGGAAGCCCTTTGGGACCACTTTCCGCGGATGGCTTCTCATCAAGCTTAGAAACCGATACCTTGCAGCAACATATACAAGAGATGGATGTATACCTAAGGTATGTTGATGACATTTTTATTGTCTGTGGAAGCAGATCAAAAGTAGATCAAAATTCGTTGGAAAGAGTATCTTCGCTGAATGGATCACTGGTTTTGATTTTCTACTTATTTAAGCCAATCAGTAGTATATAGCATTGTGCATTGTAAAATGTCAATTACACACACACACACACACACACACACAGAGTGTGTAAAAATATACGTACACCGACCGGTAAAGTTCTCACAACATCTTAAAATTTGATTTAGTCACATTAAAGCAAATACTACCTTATTTCACCTCATTCTGTCAGCTGATATCTATCAATATATAATACATGTAAGACTTTGGAGGCAGATTTTCTCAATCCAGTATGCTTTCATGAGAAATAGACAAATCAATAAAGGCTGGTAGCTTGATGTAATACACCTGTGACTTTCATGTCAAATAAATAGATTACAGACATTTATTTAAAGCAGAAGACGACGTAATCTTTCTGATATGATGTCAATCTAAATAAGTCACATTGGTAATCAGATGACTAAAGAGATTGGTCGCTCCCTGTGTGTGTGCTCATTACTGCTGCTAACCACACCACTTTGTGCGTTTCCACTGGTTAATTCTGTGAGATTTATAATCATTTCACATATACACTCTGCATACTGCTCACTTGTTTTTATTTCTTTCGATTTTGTACAACAATTTTGTGCAGTGAGTAATTTTTTTTATCATTCAATGTTCAATTCTTATGATATAATTTGGTATTTTATTCAGATTAGAAGTATAATTCATACACATGTTTTAATGTTAGCATATTTATTTGCATGTCATGGAAAAAATTATCATCAAGCTCAAAATATGAATGAATATGTTATTCATCTGTCGATGTTCGATGGTTGGAGGGAATGAGTAGGAAGCCTTTGACCTGGGTTTCATTCTTACTGCCACTCGTCAATATGACGTATAGACAGTATTTAAAGAACTAATGTCGCCTCCTTGAAATTTGAAACCAATACTGAAATCAGAGACGTTGACAGTGAGCTATTCAAGCGACCGACTGGCCTCCTTGTAGGACTGTAAAGGATACTTTGATTGAAGACTAGGTAGTTAGTTACTAGTGTCATTCATCTAGTTCTTTGTTGTGTGCAGACAGATGGAATTCGATTATAATTATTATTGTTCCCTTGGGTTCCTAGTGGAATATAGGGCTTCAACTGCACGTCTCCACTTGCCACTTCTGTCTTCCTTCTGCTGTACTTTTCACCTGCACACATCCATGTTAGTCCATACTGGCTGTTTCAACTCGTCTTCACACGATCTCCTCCATATCACCCTTCCACTGACGTCCCACTCGCCGCTTCCCTTTCGGCCTGGTTCCACTCGAGCAATGGTCTGACGCGCGCGCGATGTCAACCAGTGGCCTCTTTAGCCGCGAGTCTCCAATCCATCTCCACTTTCTCCTGCATATTTGTTGGTTGGCGATTGGTTCTTGTTTTGCTTGTTCCCGTAGTTTCCATAGTTGGTGATTCTTTCCGGTCCGGCCGGCCATCTGATCTTCAGTATAGAACCAGCGAAGACAATTGTTGGTTGATGAAGGTCTGCATGCAACAAGCTGTTGGAAATATTCTTTGTGACCCACCCGACAAGTTTCTGATCCGCATAGAAGAACTGACTGACTTGACGTTTGTATTGAAGATCCGACCGAATTTTGTTGTTGATGCTGGCTGAGTGACGAAGATTTCCAGATTGGTTTCAGGTTGATGAATGTGTGTGTTTCTCGCCTCAATGCTAGATAAGTGAATGAAGTAACCTCTTTCAAATCCCTCCCGTTGATGGTGATTGGCGCTGGATGTTGCTGTTATTGTTCTTGTTGGTGGTTGGTTATTTTCATAACCTCCGTCTTGTTCACCTATGTTCACCTGGAGTCCTGTCTTCGCCGGCTGCTTCTTCGACCAGTTTGTCAGTTTTCGCTTGTAATTCGATAATAATTCAGAATGCACCATGATGGTGAACCACCTTGGATGTTAGCCAGATTGGAAACTTCGCCGAGAGCATCAAGTCTGCACTAAACGAAAAAAGGACTACCTGCATGACACTAGTTACTGTCTAGTGTCCAATCAAATTATTCATCAATATTTGGCTAGTTGTTTGATAACTTTTTACAAGATTTAACTCAATAGCTCCAAGATAACTGGGTTCTGAAGGAGAAGCATACATATGTAGAAATTATATTTGCAAAATCTTAGCGGAATTCAAAGAAATAATTCCAACGTTTTGTTCTGCAAACTGTCGGTAATTGGCTCGAAGTATTATCGAAATTAAAAAAACTTATCATTGTGCGTAAAATACAGAAATAAAATTTTAATGTATTTGGTCCAAACTCCTTCATAGAAACTGTCAATATTAAAATAACAAAGGTATATTGCATAATATAGATATATATATATCTTGTCCTTCAAATCCGTGTTCAATCAAGTGAGACACGAATAGTAATCAAAACAAAATAAAGAATTATCCAATTCAATTTGAACTTTCCTGTTGATTTAATTGAAACCAAGTGGTCGGCCTCAACTTGACATGTCGGCTTCTTGTACAAATGCTTTGATGATGTCTAATTATATAACTTGAAATAAGTCGATGACACAAGAAGTGGGTGGTTCTCGTGGCCCAGGTGGATAACGCACTTAGGCGTTTGAAACTATTGGTACTGGGTTCGAGCCTCAATGGGAACACCATCGTTTACTGGGGAATGTAGATACATCCAGATGACGAATAATCGCAAATAGGACTGCTAGCCACCATCCATCAATATACGTCCGAAACAAGTTCACTTTTAACAGTTTGAAAAAAAATTGGGCAGTGGGTATATGATATTCATAATAATAAGGGTTTTTGGTATTTTCCGATGATTTAAAACAGTTAGTCCCTTTTATAAATTTTGATAACGTTATAAGAAGACGGAGATTATCTGAAAAACGATGTGATGTATTCGCGCTATACATTTCGAACAACAATCTGATCACACACACATTTACTTGTCAAGTCAGTATATATGGAAAAGTTAAATTAAACAAAGTGACAAAAAAGAATTAAGAATAATTAACACAACGTTTGGGGACTATATATCTTCTAGTTGTTTTTCATTTCCTTTCCCTTTAACTTATTTGAAAGATTTATTAATTACTATTATGTACTGACAACATCCATTTCACGTTTGAAGGTGAACATTTTCGACAAGTGGATGGATGGCGTTGCTATGAGGAGTCCATTAGGACCTTTGTTATCGGACGTTTTACATGTCTTATGTTGAAAACTTATCCTTTGATTTAATTTCTAAATTCCCCTTCTATAAGAGATATGTAGATCATATCATTTTGATATTCGACGATCATGAGATGCGAGTCGTCTATTAGACAGACTTAACTCAGTACAGAATCATATTAGTCTTACATGTGAGGAAGAAAGTCGCATCCAGCTAGCATTTTTAGACATACTTCTAAGTCGAAGAGATGATGGCTCAACAAGATGGTCTGTCTACAGAAAGTCCACTTGGACAGGGCGATACCTTAATTTTCACAGCTTCTGTCCATTAGAGTATAAGAGAGAGAGGCTTGGTGAAATGTCTATTTGAAAGGATTCAGCGTATTTGCACGGCTGAGGTTATAGAAAAAGAGAACGAAATATTGATGGATACTCCTGTTGAAAACGGATATCCTTTGAAATTTTTAAACAGGTGTAGAAGTCAACTAGCCTGTAAACCTACAATCCATACCGCCCCTAAGGAAAGGTTTTCATCAAATTACCATATAACGGGGAAATAAACAGTAGGATTTTGAGACAAAGGTTGGGTTTGATCATTCGTAGAACCTGTTATGCCGGCCAGCTTGTAATTATCGAAAAAGCTAAAAATATGCTCCACTACAAACCTCAAAAGTGCACAAGTGATTATATCTTATCCCACACAATTTCCCAATTTTCGTGTGTGTGTGTGTGTGGACACACATACATAGGGTGGAGTAATTGCGCTTTGCATGTGAGGGTGGGAGAGCATATCCCAAAATAGTTAGAAAAACTAATGAGTTGTGAAAAACCAATAGCTACAGGTGTCAGACTACCAACCACGTCTATAGCTAAACATCTAATCGAGATGAACCATAAGATTGACGTTAACGCAGCCTTTAAGGTCATCTATAAAAACGGTCAAGGGCGCTTATCGAAATACGCTGAGGGTATAGCTATTCATAAACTTAAGCTCCCCTTGTGTATTCAAAAGTAGTTTGTTATTACTCTTAGCCTGCCTTGGTAATCCTTATCTGATTGGATTACCAAACGTTTGTGTTAATTATTCTTAATTCTTTTTTGTCACTTTGTTTAATTCAACTTTTTCATATATATTGACTTGACAAGTAAATGTGTGTGTGATCAGATTGTTGTTTGAAATGTATAGCGCGAATACATCACATCATTTTTCAGATAATCTCCGTCTTCTAATAACGCTATCCAAATTTCCCAATAAATGAAAAACAAAACGACATCGTTGTTGTTACTGATTTTTGTCTATATAATGCTGCTAACAGCTTTATGAAAGTATTAATAAACGAGAATTTTCAAAATCTCCTCAGCTTATATATAACAACTTAATCATCGTTCCTTAGTATGGGGTCATTTTTGCGTTGTCAGGTTAGACAATTGGTGAATTGGATTTGATACGTGTGTAAAATCGTAAAAGCAGCGTGTTGTTTACACAATGAAATTGCATATGACATTCGTGTTCATTGTGTCATTTAATGGGTGGGAGACAGTGTGGGGTATTGTAACCAGGTCAAATTCTGTTTTAGTCCATCATTCAGGCTATTCATACAATTTTAATTCCATTTGATATAAAGTGTTTCTGATTTATATTAGACGTTGTTTTGTGATTTCTGAAATGCTTTTTCTCGATGATGATGATTTCAATATTGTCAAAATCAGTTTTTGGCCTGATTCTACAGTGTGTAGATGATTTTTCAAGTTTTTCTACTTCAACTGGATTTCTCGGTGGTCGAACAGATGCTCCACAGTGTTCATCTCCGCTGATTTTGATTTCTCTTCGGCGATGTTTGTCCAATGTATATCGCATCACATTCCATGCAAGCATTTTATTTTATAGACACAATTAGATAGAGAATCTTTATGGATTTGATCTTTTATATGGACAAGGTTGTTTCGCAGTGTGTGTCTGATGTTTTGAAGAAATAGAATTCCACCAATAAACTACAAAATAAACACTAATGTACGAATAATGAACAAAATTTAATCACCGACTTATTGTAGTCTGTTCTGTTATATTCTGTAAAGAGTGTGTACTTCTGCATCGAACTTTAGTGGTTATGTTCAGCTAAAGTTCATGTTCATGGATAATTGAATAGGAAAATGTATATATATATATATATATATATATATATATATATATATATATATATATATATATATATATATACATTTGATGTACAATGATGTATGTATGTGTGCATGGGAGAACAAGTTTAGGAGAAAACATTGATGACACCGTACATGACAAAACAGAGTATTGTGTAGATTATATAATTCCATAAAAAGGAATCAACTATTTCTAGAATCTGGCCAATTCTTTTGTATTGCACAGACTTTAATACAGAAATAGTATGTTTTGAATTTCTTAGCATGACTGTGTGTGACTGTAGCACTTACTA